ACCCTAAACCCTAAACCCCTCCGAAGGTCAGCCCCCAGAGTTGACGTCCAAGCAGCAATACTCTGAGACGGCAATGAAGGGAGCCTGCCGCCATGTTGCAATCTGGGTAGTTGTCTGAATTAGGTTGCCTGCTTCGGTCCCCAATATAGCACGGCAACCGCATAAAATGGACCCTGAAAGGGACCCCGATTTAGAGAACTACCGATCTCGACGTTGGACTGCAGGGTGGAGGATGTCACGCAGTTGTCCTACAATCTGCTGCCCCTTTTCTGGTACTTGGAGGTTCATGGGTAGTTAGAAGTAGGGTTATAAATCCCCTAATATGGGTTATAGCTATAGCTACCCTACTAATAACCCCACTTATAACTACCCATGAACCTCCAAGTATGCAAACCCTAGACCCTTCACCCTCAACCCTAAACCCTAAACCTTAAACCCTGAACCCTAAACCTAGGATACTGTAGGAAGGTGGGCTGTTGCTGACAATCACAGGTGCAACTCCTGGCCTACTTTTGAAAAGAATCCGCATCGGTGACAGGTACCTCCTCGGAATCATTGCTCGAGGTGTGCCTGCTGTTCAGGCTTTAGGCTCAAACGGCCCGAAAAGGTCCCACATCACTCGAACCAGATCTAGTGCAACTCCCGGCCTGAGCCTACATTCGCAACGATGCAGGAATCCCAATGCAACCCGACACCCGCTTTCTCGTTCTGCACTTTCTTTGATGGCAAGAAGCTTTAGGTTTAGGGCGGTTGGGGTTTAGAGCTCCCCCCTCTCAAACAAAATTCTGAACCTCATGCCCTGAACATCCCGAAACCGAAATCGGGTAGGACCAAGACTTCAAACCCTGAATCTCGACCGTCCGAACTGGGAATAGAGCCCCTAGATTCTTTAGTCCGAAACCCTAAACCCTAAACCCTAAACCCTAAACCCTAAACCCTAAACCCTAAACCCTAAACCCAAAACTGTACCTACAGTGAGGGACTAACGCCCCCTGAATCCTGATCCTTGAAGTTTTAGCCATTTTCATGGCATCATAGCATAGTATAGTATTACTTAACATTGTATAGCATAGCATAGCATAGCATAGCATAGCATAGTATGGTATGGTATGGTGTATTAACAGAATAGTATAGTATAGTACAGAAAAAGGTATAGACCATAGTTTTCAACGGTTTTTGAGTCCTATACAAGCCTCTGCGGTCGCGCCATAGCAGCGCAAGATGTTTCGATGGACCGGCCTCGAAGCCAAGTCGCATTGGACGTCGTGGGGTTTAGGGCTTCGGGCTTGGGGGCTTGAGGGTTTAAGGTTTAGGACTTGGATGCAAGGTATAGGTGTTGGGTTGGAGAGTTTCGGGTTTTCGGTTGTAATTGTGGGCCTGCAATACCAACCTTACGGTAGCCAGCAACTCGGTTGACTGGGAATGGATGCAAGATTTGAGTGGTAGAATCGCTGCTGCGAGTGCCTGGCCGTCTAGCCCGTAGCTGTTCCTGGTCTCTGCCATGTGGGTTTAGGGTTTAGGGTTCAGGGTTATTGTGACTGATCTGCCCAGACTGACAGACAGCATGTAGAGCACTTCGGACTCTTGTTGGCTTACCAAGCGCAAAACAGCCTGCCCCTAAACCCTAAACCCTAAACCCTAAACATCTGGGCTCATCCGGACCACCTTTCCAAATAGTCCGGATGACTCCCTTGCCACGGAATCGTCTTTTGCGGTCCTCTTGCCGAAGACGCGACCGTCCAGTATCCTAGAAAAAACGTTAACCTTCGGGGACTTAATCCCTCTAGGGTGGACACCACGCCAGACCCTCTGCCGTTTCAGCTTGGCCGACCGGCTTATCAGCCCGCCGGTGAAGAAGAAAGCAGCCGCCAAATCTCGGCCCATCATGATGTAGCTCCCGCACTGGATCGTCCACAAAGTCAACTTCCGGCGGTTGACGTAATCACACTGGCAGGCCGTTTCTCCGCTCAGGTAGTGCAGGGGCAACCTTGAGGGGGAAGGGGGCTAAGAGGATGCTTGAAACACCACAACATCAAGCACGAAATTATGCAATCCTCAAACGGCTGCGACGACAACATTCGCGATGAGGGTGCGTCACCGGCCGCGCCGTTGGTGTCCGAAAAAATCAAGGGATGTGGTAGCTGAATTTGCAAAAATGCTCTCAGAACCATCCGCGGCAGGGCCTGCAGATGGTGTCACGCGAGACTACTAAGAGTACTTGCATGTTTTGAAATTCGCCATTGGCATACTACCTGTAACCCTAGACCCTGACCCTAAACACCGAAACCCCGAAACCCTAAACCCCCTAAACCCTAACCCCAGGAACCCTAAACCCTAAATCATATAAACTCCCTAAACCCTAAAACCCAGAAGCCCTCACCCCGACTCGACAAGACCCGTCGCCCTCTGGCCTTAGACCCTAAACTTGCAGTAAGCCCGGAGCTAAACCCAACATCCCAAACCCCAAACCCCTACCTGGAGCCGAAACGACATACCTTTTCTGTGGTTCCTTATCGTGGCCTCTGTATATAGTAGTTGAAAAAGGCTGGTCTTTTGGGCCAGGGCAAACTAAACGAAACCCGACGCTCTGAAATGCAAACAGTAGAAAAACAAAAATCACCGAAACCAAACTGGATCTAAACCCATCCTAAACCCTAAGATCCCAAAACGCAAATCCAAACCCGATAGAATATCAATGAATTGTGTTGAAAGTAAACCCTTAACTCCAACCTCAAAAGCTTAACCCTAAACCCCAACCCTAAATCCTGCACCCGAGCACCTTACAGTAACCTGTAACTCTCTGGCAAGTTGCCGCTCAAGGGCGGCAACCTCGGGGACCTCGGTTGTCAGCTTCTTCATGGCCACGGTGATGGCACTCGTGCTCTTGCCTGGGGCTCTTAGGAACTTTTGCTTAGAGTCTTGGGATCTAGGTCTTCTCAAGGCAAAAACCTTCAACCCTAAGCCCTAAACCCTAAACCCTCAACCCTAAACCCTTAAACCCGAAACCCTGAACCCTCAACCCTATTTCGGGGGTTGGGGCTTTCGGGCTGCAAGCTTAGCGGTCATGGCTCTTGGCTTTCTGGGTTCGGGGGCCCGACTTCGGAACTCCTGAAACCCAAAGCGGCTTAGGGTTTCGGGTTTAGGGTTTAGGGTTTAGGGTTTAGGGTTTAGGGTTTCGGGTTTAGGGTTCTACCTGTGGGCCGAAAGACCCTGCCTTTTTCAGGAAAAAAAGGTAGAAACCGTAATTAGGCACCCTAAAAATGCAGGTCTTTTCGGCTCCCTGTAAGCCCGAAACCCAAGACTTTAAACCCCACCTCCTGATCTCGTACCTGTACCTGGTGAGGCTTTAGGGTTTAGGGCTTAGGGAGGAGTTTCCTTCAACCGTCGCACCATATCGCCCTGGGGGGCGAAATAGTTTACTGGCCCCCAGTCACAGGGGATGAAAGTAATATGGGCGCCGAAAATGGTAAGACGAGTTGACCCCCGCCCTTGCCAAGATTAGGGCATCATGTGGATACGTCCGACTGTAGCCTTGCCGGGAAACGAACACCTCAATATTTCAATCAGAGGTGTGGGGGTCTGTATACGTTAGTAAAGATATATCAAGGAAACCTGAAAGTGAACACGTTTTTACTTGCCCTAAACCTTAGCCCTAAATGATTCCAGCCCCTGAAGTACCTACAAAATTCACTCCTACGGAGTTGATATTGGCCTGAACACGGAGCACGACGCGCATCCTCTCCCTAAAGCCCGCAACCCCTGGTACCTCTCGTTGCCTGCAGGGCTCAACCTAAGCCCGAAAGCCGTAATCCCTGAAGCCCTAAATCCTCAAGCCCCCCAGAAAAATAGTAGAGGTAATTATTCAGGCCCCTACATTACGGTGCCTGAGGCCTGAATCCCGAGATTCAGCTGGCACCTAACAGTCCTAGGGATAGGAGTTTAGGACTTAGGATGTAGTGTTTAGGGTGTAGGATGTAGGGTCCAGGGTTTAGGGTATAGGGTGTAGGGTTTAGGATTTATAGGACTTGAGGGCCTTATAGTCCTAGACCCCATACCCTAAATCCTAAACTCGAAACCCGCAATCCTACTTTTGGAGCCTTGAGAATAAGAATAGGGTTTTGGGGCCCATTATACTATAATCATAGACAATCAGTATCAGGAACCCCCAAAATAGTATAGGTAATTGTTAAGGCCCCTCTATTACATACACCCTGCATGAACCGTTAATCCACCCCAAACCCAAAACAACGGCCGCGCGACTGAATCTGCGGAACCAGACACCTCTGTAGACCTGCACAGGGCAGAGGTAGCCGCCCCGTACAACCCCGCAAACTCTAAAGGTTTAGGGTTTAGGGTTTAGGGTTAAAATTAAACTTGCAGGATCTGTTTTACTCTAAGTCTAGGGCGGCTGGGGAGTTTACAGTTTGCGGGTGTGTTTCAGGGCAGAGGTGTTGATAGCTTCGGGTCTATACGGTCCGGCGTCCGGGGGCAGTTGGAGGTCCAAGCGCGGGCTCTTTCTGCGCAATTGGGTGGTTTGTGTTCAAGGATTTGGGTGTGCCTCGGGGTTGGGGCTATTGGTGCAAAGCTTCAACTTGATGCAAAGCCCTGGCGTCTTTTGCAGAAGAAGGTCCTGCTCAGGCGGCGCTGCTCAGATATGATGCAAGGAAGGCGCAGCATAAACTATGTACATTACCCCATGTAAGCCCTGAAAACTGCTTGAGAAAGTGCCACAGATTGCCAACCTTTGACTCTAAAACTGCAGGCACGGAGGCCCCTTTCCCAAGCGCCGCTTGTTGGCAATGCGCTTGCCTGCTTTTGTCTGTTCTATCTTGCCCTAAACCCTAAACCCTAAACCGATCCATGGCAGTTTCTCTTCGCCAACACTTCTCGCAGCTATTTCAGGCTCTGCTTGGTCATCTTCAATGCATCGGCCTTTGTGTGGAAGTCCTTCAGCCGCTCATTCATGGGCACATGGTTTTTCGGCTCATGCTGCTGATAGACAACCTCCTGCACCATTCCACAATAGCTTGAGATACTTGAGGCGGTCCAGAATTCTGTCCATCAGCAGTTTAGGGTTTAGGGTTTAGGGTTTAGGGGTTTAGGGGTTTAGGCTTTAGGGTTGGTAAGGATTCAGGGTTTAGGGGTTTAGGATTTAGGGTTTAGGGTTTAGGGGTTTAAGGTTTAGGATTTAGGATTTAGGGTTTAGAAGTTTAGGGTTTAGGGTTTAGGGGTGCAGGGTTTAGGGTTTAGGCTTTAGGGAGCGCACGCACAACCCTTAGGGTTTGGGGTTTGGCTTGGGGTCTCAAAGAGATGCCGCCTCGGCGCCGCCGCCGCTAGACCGGAGCAGAACCTGCCGAGCATAACTCCAAAGGACCGGGGTCAAGGAACTAGGATGGTAGGGTTTAGGGTTTAGGGTTCAGGGGTTTCAGGGTTTAGGGTTTAGGGTTTAGGGATGAAGATTCAGGGTTTAGGTGATGTAGGTTCCCCAGTAGCATCCTTTTCCTTACTGACAGCCAGCCGAATAGTAGGAGAAAGGGTACCCTTATTACTGACCCGAGGCTTTAGGCAACAAGAACGGGGGTTTCGGGTTACTTAAGGTTCGGGATCTGGAGGCCAAGGTCCAGCGTGTAGGGGCATTAAGGCTCTGGGGCCCTAAACCCTAAACCCTAAACCCTAAAACGGTCCGTGATCCTTGAGTTGGTTGGGAGGTACACCCCAAAACTCAAATCCCAGGGCTGGTATTTGCTCCGGCCTTGGGCCAGGCCTGTTTAGCTTCGGGCTTCAGGCTTCTGTTGAAGGACTTGGGGTCTAGGGGCTTAGGGTTTGGGGTTTGGGGCTTGAGGCTTTAGGGCTTAGGGTTTGGGGTTTAAGGGTTTAGGGTTTAGGGTTTGGGCTTTAAGGGTTTAAGGGTTTAGAGTTCAGGGTTCAGGGTTTCTGGATCTAGATTTCATCCGGGGTAACCCCATAAGCCTCAGTGAACAGGAAACGCCCGAAACTCTCTGCACTCGTGCCAGGAAGCCGACCTAAGTCCTAAACCCTACAGATCCTGACAAACATAAACCCACAAGCACGGTTTAGGGTTTAGGGTTTAGGGTTTAGGGTTTAGGGTTTAGGGTTTAGGAACAGCCACAAACCTGAGAACCTCCCAAACCACCCGACCGATTGCAAAACGACCCCGGGAATACCTTCAAACCCTGAACCCTAAACCCCAAAGCCCAAACCGTAAACCCCGAACCCTAAACCCTGAACCCTAAACCCTGAACCCTAAACCCGAACCCTCAACCTCAAAGCCCTAACAAGCTGCCGGACAGGCGGGCGGGCTCCTTAAAGGCTCACACCTTGTTCCCTAACTTTTCGCCCCTGCACAGGTCTAACGAATCTCGGAACCCCAAGTCCATACCCTAAACCCTAAACCCTAAACCCTAAATCGAGGGGATGGTGGTTGAAATATCTTTTGGCAGGGTTTCACAAGGTTTTGCAGGGTTCCATCGGGGTTTAGGGGTTTTTTTCGGGTGCGCTAAAAGAGACTGAGTTGCAATAAAATGTACCCCTCAAGCCCTCGATTGAACGAGTTCAGGCGTTTAGGCTGAGTTCACACTGACCTCTGTCGCCTTCTTCAAGAAGAGGTCGTGCATGACGCATGTGATCTCCGAGTCGTAGACAGGCATGAAGCGCTCCTTTGACTCTGACCTTGACTCTGCGATCGCCTTTGTCACAGTGGACTCTGTCGATACCTCGACAAAATTGTCGGTCACTGCGAGAATGGCGGGAGCGTCGCCGATGACTCTGGCTCTGATCCTGTCCCTGAGTAGGCCTGACACCGCCATGCGCTTAGTGACACTGACGCTGTTGTCGTTGTCATCTCGCTGCACACCGACGCCGTTGCGATCATCGCCGTCATCAGGCTGGCTGTCCTGCGGAACTATTAAAAGCCCCTACACCACCGAATGTGAGATCGCTGAGCCACAGTGACATGCCCCGCAGACTCCAAGAATACCACCACCTACTTGGGGGTCGAAACCCCAAACCCTAAACCCTCGAACCCCCAAACCCCAAAACCCCAAACCCCAAACCTAAACCTTAAACACTTAGAAACCCCTAATCCCCTAAACCCCCAGACCTTAACCGTTCTAGGGTTAGGGGCTTAGGGTACGTTCCTTACTTCCCCAACAAGCCAGGGAATGCAAAGGTTAAACTTTCAGATTACTACCAAAACATAACAATCCACAAAGTTTAAAGGTTGGGTATTGGAGAATTAAGCTAAACCCTAAACCCCTAAACCCTAAACCCTAAACCCTAAACCCCCAAACGCTTCTTACTTGGGGCGAGTTGGAGCCAGCCGGAGGCCTCGGGCATCAACTCCATGGAGGGCCGCAGCTCTGGCTGCCAGTCCTTGGTTTTAGGATTTAGGGTTTAGGGTTTAGGGTTTAGGGTGTGTATACAGTGTGCGAGTGGTGGGTGCGCCTTCTACTTCAGGAAAACGGGCTCACCCACTTATCGTGCGCTTGCGTCAGCATGTTGTCCCGGATGGGTGAGGGTTTGGGATTTAGAATTTGGGGTTAGTTTAGGGTTAAGGCATCGTAATCCTGGAAATCTAAGGGGTTCTTGAAAGAGTCCTGTAGAAGTGCAAGGTTATAGGGGAATAGAAATAGGCTGTGGGGTATCTCATAGTCTCATAGTATACTGAAAACTCTTTACAGGGGGGCTTAGCACTCACCATTTGCACCTCCTTATAGTGTTTGGGATCGAACGATGGGCCACCTAACAGCAAGGAAGTTTCCATACTAAATCCTGCACCCCTAGCATTGCGCACTGTGACTCTGACCGCTAAATATTGGGGAGTGAACCCTAACCCCTAAACCCTAAACCCCAAAACCCTAAACCCTAAACCCTAAACCCTAAACCCCAAAATCCTAAACCCTAAACCCTAAACCCTAAACCCTAAACCCTATCTGAGAATAGTTGGGGTGGTTGGGGCGCCATCTCAGCCGGAGCGCAGCATCTGCGAGGCCCATGCTGTGAGCTCGACGGCCTCCGCACAGCCCAGAGACTCCAAAACCCCTTAATTAAGGAATATACCTTAAATTATAATAGGATCCCTAATATGATTTAAGGTATATTCCTTAATTCTAATGTGATTTAAGGTATATTCCTTAATTAAGGGGTTTTGGAGTCTCTGGGAGGGCTTTCGAAATGGACTGCTTAGGGTTAGGGTTCGACATGGTCGGAGTTGCGGGGTTCATGTAAGGACTTCTTTGCTGCTGTACATCTGGAAGATGCTTTGGATGGTTTGTGGGCATGTTGCAAAGTATAGAAGGAGGATAAGGGGATATGATTGCAAATTAATTCAGACCTCTATGGCAAGCTACGCCCCCGCAAAGGGTTAGTTAGGTTTCTGAACCCGTAACAAGGAGCCACGGGACACAGCTAGGTCAACAGAGAACCGGACACCACGTAACTGGGGGAAAGGGTTTAAATCATGATGTAGGGCAGTCTATAATCTAATGTACTTTCATTACTCAAGCGGTCGATACCCTAAACCCTAGACCCGAAGCCGGATTGCCCTGGCATTTTTGCTTTTTGATGGCACTGGGGCAGAGGAAGATGGCTGTCCCCGAGCTTGGGTGTCTCGAAACATCGGAAGATTCCGGGATAATGTAGAAGCCTTAATAATTAGAATCAGGTTTTGGGGCCCATTATGCTAGATTTATAATAAGGAACGCCCAAAATAATATATGCAACTAAGGCTTCTATAGTAGAGCATTGAAGGCTGGCTAGCCGCTAGCCTATTCCCCAAAGCTTGGACGTAAGATCCCCTGGCTCGAAGCCAAGCCGAAACCCCGAATCCTAGCTCGCAGACTTGATGCCCTAAATCCCAAACCCGACACCCCAAGTTATTCTCAGGCTGTCGCCGAGCCGTCTTCGAGACGCCCATTCATGCTTTGTCACCTCTCTTCTCGCCCGCTCTTCATGAGGGCAGCTCGGACAAACGAGAGACATCGGGGAGACAACAGTCAGATGGGTTCATCTGAAATTCATAAAACAAATATAGGGGCCTTAATGATTAGAATAGGATTTGAGGGTATATTATACTATAGTTATAATAAGGAACCCCCAAAATAGTGTAGGTAATTATTATTAAGGCCCCTATAGTACGTCTTTCTGCTCGTGTCTTTGAAGGGTCCTGGGCTGCGGATGGCTGGAGCACTTCTGTGGCAGGAGAGATCTCGTACAGCTTCAAGTACAAGGCTTTTGCCACTTCGTGCCTTTCAGGCCGCAGGGCGCGGATTCAAGCTTGGGCAGCTCTCGGATCTCTGAAACCCCAAACTCCTTGAACCTAAAAACGATTAAGTTCTTAAGGGGTTTTGGTTTTTGTTAAGCACCTTTTTCCACCTAGCAGTTAAGGTCGGGGTGTAGGGTTTAAGGTGTAGTAAGCTACTTACAAGCTTCTACGGAACTAGTCGCCGGTCTCTCGTCGCTGCGCTGTATCACTGTGCATCCACTGGCACAGTTGCCTGTACAAAGCAGATCACTCCAGACCTGAGTCCCTGTACACACCCAGAGCTTCTTGCTGAAGGCAACTAGTCCAGGGTTTAGGGTTTAGGGTTTAGGGTTTAGGGTTTAGGGCCAGTTTCTACTATGGGGCCCTTTATTCTCATTTCATAATTCTAATGAAGAGCACTGAGGACTGCGGACCAGCTACTATTCCCGATTACTCAGGCTTCTGTAAGGCAGGATGACGGGTTTAGGGTTTAGGGTTTAGGGTTTAGGGTTTAGGGTTTGGCCGGTGTTGGGAAAGCCTTTGGCGGGGCATTGGGGGTTGCGGATACATTCCGCAAATCCCTAAACAACCCTTGCACATGCCCCCAGCCTGAACCTTAAACCCTAAACCCTAAACCCTAAACCTCTAAACCCTAAACCCTAAACCCTAAACCCGTATACATGGGTGAATGGTTTAGGCTGAGCTCTACAAGCTTCAGCATTGCGCTGCTGGTTTGGACTCAAGGGCTGGCTTACAAAAAATGTGAATTGAGCGCCCTCTTTGGGTGCCCATCGGAGACGGTAGAAGCCAGTTCTCCGAGAGGTAGTCCACTCTCTTGCATCTGGGTTCCAGCTTTGGAATTATGGTTTAGGGCTTCGGTATCTAGATGCCTTGAGCACAAGCGCTAGCAAGCCAGCCTCACATCTGTCCCTCAGACTCGGAATCCTGCCCCGAAGCCCTTGACTTGTAGTCCCAAGGCCCCAAACCAAAACGGAGGGTTAGGGTTTAGGTTTTAGGGCTTAACACAGAGACTCTCTTTATGCTCGTAAACAAGGTCAGGACCCAAACTCTACGGCTCCGCGGTAACAGTGGCCAGCATCCAGAAGCTGTGCAGGCTAAGCACTTTGCTATGATTCTTGGGGCTTAGGTTGGGGTTTCACGGCATAGGATTGAGTGTTTCGGGTTTAGCAGCTCCGAAATAGAACCGGCCAGTTCTCATTGGCAGGGCTGGCCATCGCAAGGACCCCAGTGGAAAACCCAGTGTCAGAGATGTGACAAGGAACATCAAGGAACAGGGCCTTCTGTGTTTTAGGGCTGAAGTGCAAGAGTTAAGGCTTCGGTATACAGCTTGCTGAGGTGTGGTAACTTAGCGCTTAAGCTTGTAAGGGCTTTCTGGGTTGCCACTAGCTACACTTTCGGCTCTAAGTTTCGGATTGTCCTGCTGGGCTTTATGGGAGCCAATGGCGCAGATTTCAAGGTCTTGCGACACCGGCTGAGTGCTTCAAGGCTGTGTTCGGGGCTTACTTCTTAAATCCAAGAGCTTGTATGTGAGGGTTGCTCTACATACACAAGCGTCCTTGCTGTGCATCCACCCTCAGTCATACTTATGACACACTGCTGGACGACTGTTACTGCGCACATGCAGCTCGGATCCATGGGTTTCATATTCAGCAGTAGCGTTTCAAGATCTAAATAAGAATCTAAACCCTAAACCCTAAACCCTAAATAGAAAGGATCGAGAGTTTGGAGTTCAATAGCCCTGAACCTTAGAGGCCCAGTGCTGCGGCGAAAAGCTGAAGAAACCTGGTCAGCTTCGGGACGATCCAGTAGCCTGCCCACAATGCTAACCTGAGTCGGGGTTTCTGCATAAAAACCATGTGGGGGGGCTGATCAAAATCCTGGGCCCTTTTGGGGTCTGTGTTGTAATATACTCCTTATAATTTAAGGGACCAAAACGGGCCCATAATTTTACCCTAAACCCTAAACCCTAGGCCCTAAACCCCAAACCCATGTAAGTGCGTGGGGCTTGTAGTAGCTCCAAGCTTGGCCATTGTAAGTGAACCTAGCCTCCTGGAAGTTCCAACACAACTCCTTCGTAAAGGAAACTACAGGTGGGGAGTTTTGGGTCTATCGGGCTTCTATGAGGCTTCTATCAGGTATATAGACCTTCTATAAGGCTCCTGTAACGGTAACTACACACCTGAAAGCATTCTAGACCCTTCTTCCGTGACCCGGCCCAAAAATTTGTAAACTTTCTCAGATAGACAGGACTATGTAAGGCCAAAGAACTTAAAGTTCTCCTAGGGGCTATCTACGCTAACATGTCCTAGACCTTCCTGTTGGTTCATAGCCAGAGAGCCCAGTACTCCTCAAGGAAGGGCCGTGGGGTTTAGGGTTGTAGGGTTTAGGGCTTTAGGGTTTTAGGGTTTTAGGCTTTAGGCTTT